AGAGGGGCATGTGGGGAGGAAGCAGGTGGGGAGGTGGCAGGAGGAGAGGGGCATGTGGGGAGGAAGCAGGTGGGGAGGGGGCAGGTGGGTTCTGTCTTACGTCCCGCAGCATAGCTCCACAGACGTCTCTCTGTCCGTCCCGCCGTCCAGCAGCTCAGAGACTGGGACACCCAGCGAAACGACGCGGACCGGGTCCGGATACACCTGCAGGGGGTGGAGCATCAGAACCCAGGACAGCAGGTGGGACCAGGACGACGTCTCTCCTCACCTCGTCCACCGTCCTCAGGCCCTGGATGGCTCCGGCGAGCCGCAGAGGGACCTCCAGGGTGTGGACGTCCTGATTGGCAGAGATGACGTCACGAATGCACCTGTCCACCTGCTGCAGCTGGACGGAGCTCAGCGGACCCTGAGGAGAAGCAACAGAACCTTCAGAACCGGCAGACCCCGTTGGCGGGCTGTCGATCGGGTCAGAACCTTCACGCTGAAGTCGAAGCGCAGGCGGTCGGCCGAGATGCGAGAACCTCTCTGCTGGACGGACCGACCCAGAACCGACCGCAGGGCGAAGTTCAGGATGTGGGTCGCCGTGTGCTTCACCATGCAGGACAGCCGGTGGGCCTGGGGACCGGATCGGAACCAGAACCGGGTCGGAGAAAACAGAGACTATTACAGAGGACAGAGACACCAAACCAAACCGAACCAGAGCAGAACCAGGACGGGTCGATAACAGGATCAGCTTTCTCTGGTGTTTCCTGGCATATTGTGAAGACTGTTAGGCGTCAGCAGCTGTTCTGGTTCTGGTCGGGCTACCTCATCAGCGATGAAACAGCTCTGGCTCCGAGTCAAATCAAGTTTCAACACTTGTGGATTTTAGCAAAAGTGAAATCTGAAGGTCCTGAAGGACTAGGATTGGGATTGAGGTTACCCTGATGCAGAGGCAGCAGGAAGCCGACCATATAAGGCCCGTTGGCTTCCTGTTTCACATCTAACAGACTTTAATATTCTTTTAACAACTTATAAAGTTTTAAATGGGCTAGCTGCTCCGTTTCTTCAGGATCTTTTGAAACTTCATTCTGTGTCCAGAACTTTCAGGTCCAATAATCCCTTGGACCGGGTTTCCTCCATTGCTGCTCCTAATCTCTGGAATAATCTTCCTTTCCAGATTAGATCTGCCCAGATTGGATCATTTTAAATCGCTCCTTAAAACTCATTTTTATTCTCTGACATTTAACAGAAGCCTGATACTGCAGCTCGTCTGTTTTAGCTTATTATGACACACATATTTTGTATCAAGGTTTCCCCCCAGTGTATTATAAGCCTGGCGGGCTGCCATGGTTTACATCCTCCCTCCCCCACCAGGCTTAGCATTGTTTGTTTTTATTAAAAAGAATTTTATATATATTTTTTTTTAAATAAGTCAGACTGTAAGCGTCTCTTCTGCAGTGAGCATTTCACCGGCACGCAGAATTATTCCTGAAAGAACGATGGGTTTATAGTTTCTATAGTTTTAATAGTTGATACATGGAACAG